TTTTAATGCGTGGCAGACCTCTTCAAATATTTTAAATGTTTAAACTAAATATTTCCTAACACTCTTGCGTTTGAATCCCGTATTTTTATATCTCTTATATAATTTTAGTATTAGTTAATTAAATTAAACCTTTTTGACAGGTAGCGGCCATCTTCAAAAGTATTTTCAAGCTGAAATCTTGTTAACATATTTTAAATATTTAACTGGTGAATTAAGTTGAATTTGATTTTTTACACATGTGGTAATCCCGCTAAATATAGTTCAGAAATAAAGGATTATTGAACCCCACTCGATTGATACCCAATTTTGAATAATCATTAAATAATTTCAATTTAACTTTGAAAGAGGTGGCAAGCCTCTTCCAACACCTCGAAAAATATTCTTAGTATTCAAAGAGATTTCTTAACACTTTTTCGTTTGACATCCATATTTTGATATTTCATATAACTTATGTAGAAGTTAAATAAATTCGATATTTCAAGCAGATGGCAACCCTCTTCAAAATACTTTCAGACGATTACCTACTGAAATTCCTTTCGCGTGGGACCCATATTTATGGTGATACATATTCCGCTTACCTAATTCCCTTAATTAATTAAATTTGATTTTTTAAACAGGTGGCAACCTATAGTTAAATTCAGAAACAAAGTTTTTTTAAATCATTTCTATTGATACCCATTTTGTAATAATTGGTTTATTTTGTAAAGAGTTTTAATATAATTTTTTAAAAGTTGGCAACTCTTTTCAAAAAAGTAAGACTTTATTGCACATCTGCAGTCCAAGCTTTTTAATTTGACGCCTCATTTTGGAAAATCGAACGAACGGTGCGGATATGGTGGCATTGCTTACGCTGGCTTACAGAATTTGATTGAAAAACACCCTATCTCATAATTCGGTTCAAAAATGCCCTACCTCAGCTGAAAATACATTGAAAATGGGTAGAGATAGGGTGTTTTTGAATCGGCAACTGAGATAGCGCATTCCTCAATTAAATTCTGAAGTAGGGCGTTCCTGAAGTTTTCTGAGATAGAGCGTTTTCGAACTGACTACCAAGATAGGTCGATCTTCCATGCATGTGTCGATATGTATGTGCAGTAGGGTATTCCTTAAAAATCAAATGAAGGATTTTTCTCTGTCTCACCCCACAATCGGTAATACCACGGACAAAGGTATCATATCTCCATAGAGGAATTTAAACTTTTCCCCCTGTGCCACACAAGGCGTGACCATCCCCTATCGGGAGCAAAATTTATATGTGATTCGACTATAGTTGCACCGACGTAGGGATTGAGGTTCAGGAAATCTGATTCAAAAATATTCTTCATTCATTTAAGGACCGCCCTAATGTACATGCATGCATGTATGTACATATGTATGCATCTTCAAATTTTTCATACTACTTACCTTAGCAAAACCAAAATCTGTAAGCTTGAGATAGCCTCTCTTATCAATCAATAAATTCTCTGGCTTTAAATCGCGATACAGCAATTGCAAATTGTGCAGATATTCCAAAGCAAGCAGCACTTGTGAGGCATAAAAACGTGCTTGTTTCTCAGAAAATTTACGCACCCTATGTGGGGGGGGGGAATCCATTGAAACTTAAGCAAAAATTTAAAGCAAACCAAAAAAAAAGTATTTCATACTTGCGATGATAGGTAAAAAGTTCGCCGCCATTTATGAACGGCAAGCCGAAGATTAAGTTATCAAAGTCCTTTCGACAAAATTCCATCATAACGACAAAAGGGAAATCTATGCTGAGTAGCACGCGTTTCTCATTGAATATATGTGGCACTTGTTTCGTTCTAACGACCATTTCTTTCAGCACAAATTTGGCAGCATAGTAATTACCCGTCGATTTTTCGCGCACTAATTTCTAATAAAAAAAAAAAACAATGCACAGCAACTGCTATTATTTTTTGTTTATAACTATGTAAAATCGTATCTCTACGCACCACTCTACCAAACGAGCCTAATCCAATCGTAGCCAATTCATCGAAGCCTTGCACACCCGTGTCCGGAGATGGTGTCATTTTTTCCCACTTTTCAAGAAAGCTTTCCTTGAACATTACAAGCATCATATCGTAATCAACATTGCCACTGAATCTGGTATTTATAGCTGCAATCTCAAAGTGCATTCGAAAATGCAAACGTATTGAAAAATATTGAAAAAAACAATAATTCGGTGTACAAACCTTTGTTAGCTTTTTCTATAGCAATATGTTTCATTTTGCCTTCACTAATATCCGTTTGGGATCTTTGCATGGGCACCAATTCCATTTGATGCGCCATTTTGGTCGAGATAATCAGTAATCTTATAAGTTCTTAGCGTGCTAAATTCTCAAAAAGAAAAACAACAATGAATGAAAAAAATTAACTTCAAAACTGTAATATTTACATTTGTAAAATTTTGAATCCAATCAGAAAAATTCTTATATAGAAAAATATAAAGAAATATTGTTAAGTACTTTCAAAAATAGTATTAACTATGTAGTTTTTACTTAAATGGATTTTGAGCCTCTTTATTTTTAATTTTAACTACTGATCCATAACCAATTTTTTTACCGATTTCAATTCAATTAATTGAGGACATACATAAATAATAATATTATTACAAAGTGGGTATACAACTAAAGTAGGCTACAAAATATTGGTTTCCAAAACACTTTTGAAGAAGGCTGCGATCTGGTTAAACATTTTAATTCCATTAAATTGATAAGTTAAATAAGTTGTTGTAATATGGGTGTCAAAATAAATTGGCTTAAAAAGCTTGATTTTGAAAAACATTCCTTAAGATGGTTGCCACCTGTTTAAATAAATTCGATTGATAAGATAAATAAAATACTACTATACAAACTAAAATGTTTTAAGAGAGCTTGATTCTACATAATCTACATAATACCATGTTTGGGACCCCGACGAAGTATCGAAAGTTTCGTCTTGGAGGCTTCATTTCCTACGACTTCCTACGATTTTCATATCGAGGCGGGGGCAACACTCATATGTATGCGTCAAGCGCTCATAGAAGAAATTCTTGCACGCCCCGTCCTTCTCTTCCGTCGAGGAATGAGCGTAATGAGCAGATGACCGAGATGTTGAAAAATCGCGCTATGATGCGGATTTTGGCTAGACAGACGTTCGTCCACCGGGGTCAACGATAGTACCTACTCGGCGACGGAGTCTCTCGCCCGCCACAAATCAAATACCGAATTTGCGCCTCTTTACATGGCAGCTGTAGTAGCTGTCGAAAGGCTCCAGACATTTTGTGCCTTCCGCCGTCCAACACACTTGTTTGATGGCGAGGACATCAACCAGCCAAGCAGAGACACCTTCCCCATTAAGGGTTGCCCTCAAATCGGTGTATTTTAAATGTGTGCCGTGGTCGTCATCAAAGCGGAGGTCTCATCCGAGGCTTTGTTTGTATTCTACACTAGAAGTTGTTCTTACGCACAACCTACTGCTGAGAGACAGGTATTTTCTTAACCGGATACACGTGTATACAGCGAGGAGATTTTTTAAACTTAAGAATTTTACAACAAAAGATGAATTTTTTGTTAGAAATCATTAAAAATTTGTTATCAAAGACATTTCTTGTTTTTATGCTAAGAAAAACAAAACGATAACTGATGTAAACTTTTTATGAGTGCCGCACCGAGTATTTGGGTTACCGAACAGTTCGGCCAAAAATTCGAAATTTCATTCTTTGGCAATCGAGCCGTCAACCTCTCGAAAGATTAAAGAAGCTTCAATTCGATCTTTTCATTCAGGCATTCTATTTTGGAGAGTGAAGAAATCTGGCTCCTATGACATCTAAAAAGGAGTCAATGGAAAATTTAATATTTTAGGAATTATTTTTTATAAATTCTACTTTTCTTCTTTTGTTGTGGACGGATTTCTGACTGGAGTCAAAAGTATAGATGCATTATGGTAACCTGCATCTCCGACTACGTTATGTTAGTTAGCAGTGGTCTCAGTGCCCAGCGTCATTTCTGGAGACACATGGCCTTGCAACTGCGTCAATAATTTTACAGTCTGCATCAAAAACAATCAATGCACATTATTATCGCATTTACTTATAACATGGTGGCGTCTTTTTGGTTAGTAACGAGAACATTTAGAGAAGTGTGTCGATTCTTTAATGTTCTATTTTATTTAGAGACTTTAGTTTGACTATGACTACATGCGCTTATCTTTACTTTAATAAAAGGCGTTCTTTTTTAAGCTAACATACATTTCGTTGTCATTACCTTGAGCTAATTTAGCATAGATTTGTAATGCATGTATACTTATGAAATCTTCTGCATACGCTNTGTTTTAAGAGAGCTTGATTCTACATAATCTACATAATACCATGTTTGGGGCCCCGGCGAAGTAGATCAGCCATTATCGAGAGTTTCATCTTGGCGGCTTCATTTCCTACGACTTCCTACGATTTTCATATCGAGGCGGGGGCAACACTCATATGTACGCGTCAAGCGCTCATAGAAGAAATTCTTGCACGCCCCGTCCTTCTCTTTCGTCGGGGCATGAGCGTAGTGAGCAGATGACCGAGATGTTGAAAAATCTCGCCATGATGCGGATTTTGGCTAGACAGACGTTCGTCTACCGGGGTCAACGATAGTACCTACTCGGCGACGAAGTCTCTCGCCCGCCACAAATCAAATACCGAATTTGCGCCTCTTTACATGTAGTAGTTGTCGAAAGGCCCGAGACATTTTGTGCCTTGCCCGGTCCAACACATTTCTTTGATGGCGAGGACAGCAACCAGCCAGGCAGAGACACCTTCCCCATTAAGGGTCCGGTCCAAGTACATGCATCTTTTCATTCAGGCAATTAGGAATTATTTTTATAAATTCTACTTTTCTTCTTTTGTTGTGGACGGATTTCTGACTGGAGTCAAAAGTAAAGATGAATTAGGGTAACCTGCATCTCCGACTACGTTATGTTCAGATTTGCTTTCCAACAAATAAGTATTTTGTTAGCTGTGGTATCAGTTTCCAGTGTCACATTGTGGCTTCTTTTTGGTTAGTAACGAGAACATTTAGAGAAGGGTGTCGATTCTTTAATGCTCTAATTTATTTAGAGCCGACTTTAGTTTGACTATAACTACAGGCGCTTATCTTTACTTTAATAAAGGGCGTTCTTTTTTAAGCTAACATAGATTTCGTTGTCATTACCTTGAGCTAATTTAGCATAGATTTGTCATGCATGTATACTTATGAAATCTTCTGCATACTCGGCTCTTCCAGATCCTGCCAAAGTGACCTTCACACCCACTGTACAGTATCTACCCTTCCGTTTGGCGGGCGTCGTTCAATGTTACATTAAATCCAATCCTACACTACAATATGTCACCTGGACCAAAGATAAGCGCCTCCTCGAGCCGTATCAAATGAAAGACATTGTCGTAATGGCCAACGGATCATTGCTTTTTACGCGCGTCAACGAGGATCATCAGGGCCGCTACACCTGCACACCGTACAATGCGCAAGGTACTCAGGGCTCGTCCGGTCCCATGGAGGTGCTGGTGCGCAAGCCGCCCACATTCACCGTCGAACCCGAATCGCTGTATCAGCGCAAGGTGGGCGACAGTGTGGAAATGCATTGCGATGCCATCGAAGCGGAGGGCACACAACGACCAACCATCAAATGGCAACGCCAAGATGGTGGCGAATTGACCGAATCACAACGTACGCGCGCCAAAGTGTCCGGTGGCAATATAACAATTGAAAATTTACGCGGCGAAGACTTTGGCTACTATCAGTGTGTCGTCTCGAATGAAGTGGCCACATTGATGTCTGTGACACAGCTGGTTATCGAAGGTACACAACCGCATGCGCCATACAACATCACCGGCAAGGCGACTGAGTCGTCGATTACGTTGCAGTGGATGCCCGGCTATAGTGGCGGCTCTGAGTACAAACAGGACTATACGATTTGGTATCGCGAGGCTGGCGCTGCCGACTGGCAGACCATTTCGGTGACCCCGTCGGGCAGCACGCAAGTGACGATCAATGGCTTGGCTTCGGGTACGACGTACGAATTTCAGATAGTCGGTCGAAATGTGCTCGGCGATGGACTGATGAGCAAGGTGATGACGGTGCGAACTTTAGGTGAGTTCAAGTTTTAGTCAATTTCTTCTTATTATTTTTCAATTCTAAAGCATCATTGCACAATCTGTAAACATGAAAATGCAAAGAAAGTGAGGATAGTGCGTCGTATGGGTGAAGGATAAATGAAATTAAAGAGGGAAAAGGTGAAGTAACTAAAGAAAACAAGTTTTTAATAAATAATTAGTATTTAGAATTGGAAAGATTAATAAAAAAATTTTTCCCTCCACACAAATTTCGGTATTAAAAATGTTTAAGGTAAATTTTATCTGTAAATTTAAATAGTTTTAAGTCGTTTTATAAAAATTTTCCATTTTGAAAAAAAAAGTTGTTTCGTGCTAGTCAACTTACTCAAAATTCAGAAGTTTCCTTATTTTTAGAAATTATTTTTTAATAATTTTGATTTTTTTTTTAATTATTCAAAAAAAAAATTTATTTTTTAAATTTCGAAAATTTCTTGTAACTACTTCAATAATTTGGCAAAAAATCACTCCACCCCTCACACGGTCATTTTCTTTGCATTACTATCTATAAAACTATATATTTAACGANCTTCTTATTATTTTTCAATTCTAAAGCATCATTGCACAATCTGTAAACATAAGAATGCAAAGAAAGTGAGGAGAGTGCGTCGTATGGGTGAAGGGGGAAAAGGTGAAGTAACTAAAGAAAACAAGTATTTTAATAAATTATTAGTATTCAGAATTGGAAAGGTTCATACAAAAATTTTTTCCTTCACTCAAATTTCGGTACTAAAAATGTTTAAGGTAAAATTTATCTGTAAATTTAAGTGTGTTTTAAGACGTTTTATCAAAATTTTCCATTTGAAAAAAAAAAATTGTTTCGTGCTAGTCAGCATACTGAAAATTCAGAAATTTCCTTATCCTTAGAAATTAAATTTTAATAATTTTGATTTTTTTTTTAAAACTCAGAAAAAAAATTGAATTTTTTAACTTGCGAAAATTTCTTGCAACTACTTCAATAATTTGGCAAAAAATCACTCCACCCCTCACACGGTCATTTTCTTTGCATTACTATCTATAAAACTATATACTTAACGTAAACAAAAATTCTTGCATTTTCTCTCTTTTTTCTCTCTTTCCTCAACAACATTTATATAAATATCAATGCATTGATTTATGTGCGCCACTCATATAACTCTATCATCATCTTTCGTCTTAAACTGAAACCACAAAAATTTCAAAAAAAAAAATAAAAATAAAAAAAAACTAAATACAAATTATTTTGAATCGCTAAACATTCACAACTACAACAAAATCGAACAACAAAATAAAACAAATACGGACATTTGAATTTCATTGAAAAATTGCAAATTCAAATGCCTTTAGAAGATGCCCCGGCAGCGCCACGTAATGTCAAGGCTGCAACACAACCGCCAGATCATATTTTTCAACTAATGCCAGACGAAGCTGGTAAGCGAACGAACACACCTGCCGANAAATTTTTTTTTTTTTTTTTTTTGAATCGAAGCATTGTCCAGTACCAGGTTTTTTTTTTTAATTTTGGTTTACGTTTTTAACCTTTGCTTTCATTTAAGTTTTTTTTTTGTTAGATTTTAAAGCTCTTCGCTTGTTACATTGGTGTGGTTATTATGTAAGGCTTTTTCAACAAGTTAATAGTGGATAAGCTTCGATTAACTTGACTATGATCTAAGAAGAGAGGTGATATTTTTGAAAAAAAAAAATATTCACATTCCTTTCTATGATTTTTTTTTATTTGAAGACGATTTATTTGGACGATTCTCATTTATGATTTAAATANCTCTTTCCTCAACAACATTTATATAAATATCAATGCATTGATTTATGTGCGCCACTCATATAACTCTATCATCATCTTTCGTCTTAAACTGAAACCATAAAAATTAAAAAAAAAAAATTAAAATAAAAAAACTAAATACAAATTATTTTGAATCGCAAAACATTCACAACTACAACAAAATCGAACAACAAAATAAAACCAAATACGGACATTTGAATTTCATTGAAAAATTGCAAATTCAAATGCCTTTAGAAGATGCCCCGGCAGCGCCACGTAATGTCAAGGCTGCAACACAACCGCCAGATCATATTTTTCAACTAATGCCAGACGAAGCTGGTAAGCGAACGAACACACCTGCCGAATAAGAAAAATTTTAAATTAAACTAGCAGAGAACCGGAACGCTACCTTGGGCAATGTACTTCGATTTAAGTAATGAGAAATTTGTTTTTTAATCGAAGCATTGTCCAGTAGCAGGTTTTTTTTTAAATTTTGGTTTACATTTTTAAACTTTGCTTTCATTTAAGTTTTTTTTTTGGTTAGGTTTTAAAGCTCTTCGCTTGTTACATCAGTGTGGTTATTATGTAGGGCTTTCTCAACAAGTTAATAGTCGATAAGCTTCGATTAACTTGACTATGATCTAAGAAGAGAGGTGATATTTTTGAAAAAAAAAAAAAAAATATTCACATTCCTTTCTATGATTTTTTTTTATTTGAAGAGCTCAGTCATCTTTTGGACGATTCTCATTTATGATTTAAATCGTCAAGGCGAATCAATATAAGGTGATAACGGAATTACAAAAACAAAAATTTACCTACATGTATTTTGTTTTTGCTTTGGCTTTATATAAATTCGCCTTGGATTTAGTTTTAAATATGAGTTTTCTCTCACTTTATTGTTTACAAGTTTTTGTATGTGAATGGGTAAATTTTTTCATATAAATAATAAATCGGGGCATACAAAAACAGACTCGAGCTCAAATCAAAAGTTAACTTCGTAAAGAGACGCGTAAAAAAACTCCGGCGAAGAAAGACGCGCAAATCTGTTTGACGGCGAAGAAGCACATGTCATGAAAATTTATTTGAATATTCGCTTTTTAGGCTTTGGTCGCGTGTCCTTTTTCGCCGCCAAAAAAGTCTATGCGTCTTTCTTCGACTTATTTTTTGACGCATTCTTTTGGGCCGTCAAAACACTCGTGAGTCTTTGTGCGTACTCTCCGTCGAATAGTTAGTGTAGTTAAAGGTACTCTCACCTTCTATTCCTTGGATAAAGTTGACTTCAGAGTGCCTTTCCTGGCCAGCTTATCTACCACGTAGCTTGCTGCGATTTCACTATAGTCTGTCAACCATGTAGTACATAATTGTGGTCAAAAAATAGTCAGGAACAACCGAAAGAGAGGACAGGCTTTTGACAGACAGCTTTGAGCGCATTGTGAGCTTGTCCAGGGCTCAAATTTTTGGTCGACCCCTTGGCGTGTAGTGATAATTCGCTTGGTAAGTCCACGGTACCATCCGAAACTCTCAAAGCTTGGAGGTGGTCCAAGGTTTTCCCTGTCCACCGGAGCACTCCAAGATTGTGGTAGCCACGCGAAAGTCTACGTGGACGATTATCGCCGTAATGGCTCGCCGTTAGACCTATCCGGATGCTCCCGACCACACGAGTCCCCATAAAGTAAGACGTGTGGCTCTTTTTGGTGGTGGTTATTTCGTCCTATGCTGTTTACTGAGGTACCAAGTTCGATGTCGCATGTGTATTTTTTTACACAACGTTAACTTTGGTGATCTTTCGTCATCCCCTTCCTTGAGAATTTCGCGAATTTGGGAGCCGATTTCGGCGCACCACAGCGGCATGAAGCCGGTATTTCCCCTATCGACTACAGAATACGATTTTGACTCTTCGGAAGTGGTGTTCTCTCTTGTCGAGATATTGGCTTCGGGAATAAATTTTGACCCTCGAGGTTGTTTTTGTCGCTTCTGTTTTGGTTATATTTTGTTTAACTTTCAGTTTTAAGGCAACTCAAATCCCCGCACGTGTAGACGCCCATAGTTGCTAGAAGTGGTTTTACGGTTATGCCTAGACGGGGACATGGCAAAAGTCAAAGCCAAGCCCCTATAGGGTAATCAGTTCAGAGCTGAGAAACGCTAAGCAGCAGTTATCTGAACTCCAGCAGCACCATTCAACTTAAGGGTGATCCGGTTTTGAATGAATCACGGTCTCATACTAACGCATATCACAGCGAAACCTCGATATAACAAAGTTGAAGAAGCTGGACTAATGCATCGTTAAGTATATATGTAGTTTCGTTATATTTAAAGGAAGAAATCTTAATAAGTATAGTTTCGTTTTTTGTAACACTACTCCAACCGTCAGCATATTCAGAATTCGCTTTTGAGTAGAGACAACAGGACTTTAACTGTTAACATATTCAGAATTTGCAACGTAGAGGCTTTTGAGACGACAATTGCTCATATACATAGAGGCTTTTTCTAACGGAACTTCAATCGTCAAATGTCTTCGCTATATCTATGGAGTATTTTTGTATCGAAAACGAATCATATTGCCGATGGGCCACGAAGTGGTGGTGTTCAACACATACTATATCAGTTTTTTACATTTGAAGTGGTCCAGGTCAGCATAACAAGTTACTAGTATGTAACTAGGTCGTCCTCAAATTTTTACGGGGTACTAAGTCTTCTTGGGAATATCCTGAATATTAAATATTTTCAATACTATTTAATTTATGAATCAAAATTATCAGAGCTTTCACAATAGTCAGCTATGAGCTCTTTTGCTCTACGAGTACTTACTTTCTAAAAATGCTTCCTTTTCTCGTCGTAGAAAAAGTATACATACATATGTACATAGCGGACGATTTTTATTTTTTTTTTTTTTGAGTAGTAAGTATTTGCGTAGCTTTTTTGCAGTGAAGATATTCACTAAAAGGCTGCGGAAGAAATGCTTATTTAATGCTGAGTTTTCTGCGGCCGATTCCTTTCTTTTTTTTTCAGTATTCTTTTAACTCAGTTATTTCAGAGGGTAGGAAAAATCATAAAAATTAAGTTCGCAGCTTCGCGCAACCTACAATTACACACCTTAAGCATTCAAACAAAAAAAAA